ACTTGCCACATTCCTCACACGTGAACCCAACGAGTCTCTCCTGTGTACTGGTTGGAAGTGGTGCGGAGGCGCCAGATGATTCGTAGTGTACATTGTCGAAAGTAACCAGCACATTGAAACCAAACGGGGTGGTTGACCCTGTCTGGAGTTGCTGAACTCTTAGCTCATCCAGACAGACGTCGAGGCTACCCGGTCGGCAACACGAGGAGGTGGTTCAGCTCGCCGACTACTACTATTATCATTTATTTTTGAAGAGCATGGTCACAAACATAAAAAGTGAATGCAAGCGGTGAATGCGAAAGAGTAACAGGAGAATATGGGAGAAAAGAGAGAAACGTCTCATTCGGGATCATGCCAAGGGCAGTGCCAGTCTGCTACTACTACTGTGGACAAGACTACTTTTCTAGGACGGCCGTCCAAAACGATGCATTCGAAGTGGCTAATAACTCCTGCGACGTTTGCCGTCGTATCGATGATTATTGATGACAGTACCTTTGGTTCAATGCATCCCTATCCGCTCATGCAACATGAAACTTGCATATTCCACGTACAATCTTTTGAATTCAATGTAGTTTTTGATTAGCGTGAGGACTTATTTTGATTACATACAGAACACTCAAAGACCATAGTGTGTACCATGGGTATGGAACGCTTTTAAGGCCAGTTGACTGATTCAGTCGATTGAAAACAGCTAACTGCACTGAACCTACGTGATGCTCACGGACAAAACCGGTGATTTCCCAAAACCTCGAATAGCATGATTATCACTCACCGGCGAGATGTTGCGAGCTGAGCAGAAGCACAGTTAATTTGAGGATGGCATGAAAAACGCAGCATGAGCGAGTGATTCTTTTGGAAACTTAAGCGTACGGTTTTTAATTAACTATTCTAGGTGTGGTTTCACCGCAAGTTCTCTCGAGAAGCGCAGTTGGGGTTGCTGAAGGTCATATACGTCCAGCTAATAGGTTCGCCATCTCAACTCGTCTTGGATTCAAGGAGTTTCTTAAGGTCCACTAGGTAGTTCAGCTCGAATTCGGGCATTGGCCGGGTCCAATGGGTGTTTCACGTGTCTTTAAGATGTGAACTCACGAAGAGGAACGAAACCTTTGTGGTTAGCTGTAGTGCTCAAGCAGCTGGGAGTGAGCTGGATGGAATAGCATGTGTCGTGGTTGTGATGACTTAGCTTGTTCCTGGCGTGCAGGAATCGAAGTAGCCCTAACCACCACTCAGTGACGTATATGATTTCAAATGCTATTTTCGGGTGATGCAAACGTCTGTTATCCAGTCGTTTCAGGTGGTGGTTAATAGGACGTTGATGAAAATCAAGTCCAAAGGATGAAATTTCAACACGACACTACCTTGATCCTTATTCTCTAATCGGTACATAGTGGACTTTTCGAACTACTGATCACAAACACGGTCTAGCTATAAACCTTCCGAAATTTGTAGGGAATTAATAAATAAAAGGTGCCTGTTTTGCACTGAGTTTGGACTCGAAATAAAAGAATAAACAAATAAACAAATTGATAAAGTAATAAGGTGACAAGAGCAAACGGCGTTTTATATCCTGCGGTGCCTGTTTTGCACTGAGTTTGGACTCGTTGTATTGGCGTCTCTTGCCTCTCAGGACTCAAAGTGATGATAGTTCATTAGTTCCATTGTTTATCACTTTGAAAGTGCCCCTAAATTTGGGGCATAACTGCATGGAGGCGAAGGGGAAGCTGAGAAAGACACGTACCGGTGAAAGGAAGAAAGCCGTCGCTGCGGAGTTGTTTACTAGAAAATGCCAACTGAACAGGAACAGGAAGGCAAAACTCTCTTGTGCATCTTGTTTACAAAGCTGAATATCCATCCTCTCTTTGAACGCCCCTTCCTGAACTTTTCTGAATATTCGTCGACTGTTGCTCAACTTCAAGCAAATGCTACAAAGTGACTCCACAAATTCCGCAACAGATCTCCCTTTTCAACGGACGCAAAGCGAATTTACAAGAAGGAAACATACTACTCGCATGCCTCTCCCATCAGTAGTATCACCGTTACACCAGTAGTGCTTTGCACAATGCACAATCCATATAGATTAGTTCTATTCCGTTGGTTTGGTCGGCATAATAGTTCTCCAGATTCATTGTTTGATCGGTCAGCGATAATCGATCACTCCAGTTAAGATTGTGGAATAAAAATGACATAAAAAAAACAAATTTTTCTGAAGCCCTTCACTTCTATGATAAAATCTTAACGTAATTGGTGACTTGTAACCTCCAGGCTCCACAGAAGATGGAAAAATCACTGGTAAGTGGTGTGATTTTGTACATGAACTACTCACTACAAACTATTCAGTATACAAATCATTCTATTCGACCACCCACCATGGTTGATTTTTTGTGGAGTGCATCTCGGGGCTCGCTGAGGGCCGTTCCATTTTTCGGTCATTCTCCTCCAAAATACGTGTGCGTAAGGCTTCACGGATCGATACTCCTAGATGGTAGCAGTTGTGATGTTCTGGGCCTTCCTCACAAGCAAGCCAACCGAGTCAGCAGCACTCTTTGCGTTATTTTTTTACAGTGATCTATCACAAATACTCTCATTTGAACATGAATTTGGTTCTGACAAGAGACTCAGCTGAATCTCTCGTTTGTGATTGGTCGCATCAATCAACCATCAACTGCATGTGTGGACCATCATAAACGAGAGATTCAGGTGAATTCAGGTGAGTCTCCTGTCAATACTACTACTACTACGGCTAATAATAATAATAATAATAATAATAGTAATAATCAGACACTTATGCTACACTGCGGTATGTAATTTCCATGATTGTACATTGGCTGGGATACTATCGAGGCGCCCATACCTAGGGACGATTAGGGTTATTTGGCTCAAAAACCTGACATCAAGGCAGCGGTGTTTGGCTGGAAATGCAAATACATTTACATTTTTTCTACGGAACTCGTCGTCACATATGTTTAAGCCCACAACTTGGAGGGTCAGGGGACTGTGTCCACCTACCCAGTATGAGAGACTGCGAGTGTCGCGTGGAACCCCCCAGTACGGATCATCAACTGGTTGTGGAGGCACACAAACCATCGTATCACATTTAGTTCCACTCTCCTGTCCTAGCCTAATTCCTGTGAAAATGAAAGTATTTGTCGAATTCCAGTTTGAGTTCAAGTAGAGCATGAGGTTGACGGAAACTCGGAGACTGCGCTTACCTGATGAGCCCCGAGAAGGGCGAAACTGATCGTGGGCTGTCGAAGATTTTTCAGCAACTTTAGGAGTAGTGTTTTGGTCTGTATGTTTGTTGACTAGCACTCCGATTAATTGGTAAAACAAGAATAAATGAGTACACCCTAATACTTCATCAAATTCTTTATACTACCACCTGCTTTTGGAACAACTCGTCGATAACCGCGGTGACAGGTATCAGAAATTCAACTTATTACCGTCTCCTTGTTCCAACGTATCGGTATTAGTTAACCGAAAGACAGACGAATATCCCACTCTGAGACATACGAGGAGAAAGCCAGTTTAGAATAGCCAGCTAGACTACTTGCCGTGCTCAGTTGAAACTTGATGCGATCCTAATGTTCTTCTCGAAATCGTTCAGCTGTTACACCCTTTCGGTGCCTAACTGCCATGCCACATGAAGGAAGCACGAGGGCTGGGATACTGTCAGGTTGCCCAAGCCTAGACGGGGGAAGTTGAGAGGCAGAGGTCGGGTTCGAACCACGGACCTTCCAGTCAGTAAATTCGCGCTCTAACCACTTGAGCCATCTTGCCCTTACCGTTCTTCTGCCATCATTTCTACCGTTCCATTTTGTTTTATTCTGGCTTTTGACCTTCAAACTGACATCTTCCACAGTCGTCCGATATTTCTCTTTATATGTCACAGGACAACTTTACAGGTCAAGGTTTAACCTGCCCGGTGAGCGGAACAGTGATTTTTCACATGGCCTATAAACGCTCCGCATCTAAACGGCGACTTGTAAACCCGCTTCCTTCAACGCACTTGGACATGTGAAACTAGGTACTAGAACATACTGGTGTTGTGTACACCACTTGTGCCAACTCCCCAGCAAATTTTCTGCAAAGCTTGTTTATCCTCTCTGAGATAAGTCGCAGTTCGTTTGCAATCGTAACAAACGTCCACTAGCTGTCATCACAGGTCAATGACCGATCACTACATCAAACGCGAACGTCCCATGTGCTATTATGTTGAAGCGTATGCCCCAAACATGCTGGCAAGGCAGTGAACAAGTCCGTCAGGCTCTTCTGTGAGACCTACGTATGTAGCTTTGCAGTACACAAGCAGTTCAGTTAGTGTGTTGAATGAACCTCAGAGGTTCATTGGTCCCAGCTTATACAAATAAGTCAAATTACATATCACTGAGAGTAGGAGCCTTCTTTGGTAGCATTTCGACTGCCATTCTAGTGGATGAAGCGGTCTAATTCGGTAAAACATTGGGACAGACTAATTCTGGTGGCTCGCGGCATTGTACAAGAGTCGAAGTAAGCGTCCAAATATTTTTTGTTTATCAGAAGCTCAGTACTGTGATTCCGTGGAGCCTATCTTGGAAGCACGCACTGACACACCGGTCTTGCCGGTTTACTTCAATATAGGTCGATGCATTAATTTTCCGATTAGCATAACAAACTTCGTTTCGGTTGTTTCTCTGATGGGCACAACTATCGTCGAAATGGAAGTCATCAAATGCCCGTCTATGCGGCAGATACCGGATAGTGAGAGAAACATAGGGTAGCAGAAACTGTGGTGTAGTTTTTCTGCGGGTAATTGCCTGAAGTCAATGGTGTTGTTACACCGGATACCGATTTAGAGGTAGTACGGTGTATCTTCTCTTATTCTCTGAAATATCAACGGTAACAGTGTTTTGCAAGTTCAGGAATCCAGCGACCGGGTTCACATAATGAGTCTCAAAACGAACGAAACTGGCAGTGGGCTGTTCAACGGTGTTCATCAACCTGAGGTTTTGTATCATTTGAAGTTAGTAATAGTGTTTGGCTTACAGGTCCATAACATCGTCGTTCAGCTGCAACACCGATGCCTAGCTGCCATACTACCCGAAGGAAGCACGAGGGCTGGGATACTGCCAAGTTGCCTAAGCCTAGACAGGGGAAGTCGAGAGGCAGAGGTAGGGTTCGAACCACGGACCTTCCGGTCAGTAAATTCGCGCTCTAACCACTTATGCCAACTCGCCCCCACAAGTCCGTAACAACTATGGATGATAACTCAAACGGATAGTTGACGGATCTCTGTTCTGTATAAATTCAAGACTTAGAATGTACGCGGTTCACTATTTGTTTGGGCGAAATCAAACGGAGGTGGTTGTAAAAAGAACATGGTTTGGACGAAACTGCAACGGATACCAGATAAGAGCTGTTGTGTGTTTAGAACCAGAGCAATCGACCGTTTCTGCGTTCTCCGGTCTTTGTTCCCCAGTGACAGGTTTAGAACGAAAAAAGCCTAACATAATGCCTGTGGTGATTGAATGAATTGCAAACCTGCAGTGTATCAACGGCAAGGTGAGAGTCAAGGTGTTTGAACGGGGGATAGCCGCCATTCTTCGTGTAGAACAACAAATTTGCGATAAAAGACTTGAAGTGCTTGTTCTAAGCAGCAGAAAGATCTCTTGCAGATGCTTGGAGCAATGCACAATGACGGTGACATCCTGGTGGATGGTTGTTAGGACGTCGCTGCGACAACAATGATCACTGTCTCGTCGTCACCAGCTACCCACCTGACTGAAATGGAAGGTTAGTCACAGGCTATTTACTTTTCGTTAAACAGGAGACGGAATAAAGTAGCGAATGATCACAGGATTAACTATCGTTCGCTTCGAAGGCTGTTGCTTTGAACAACAGCAGATTGCTGGTGTACACCCTTGCTTATTTGTTGAATGAAGGAAAGAACCAGATTACAAGGGTCTTTTGGCATCATTTTCAGGTTTTGCCTTAACACGACGTCAGACTTCTTCGCAATGAAACAACAGCACATTAGCGTTGATTGCTAGTGTTTAACTGCGTAGCCATCAGAGAACGAAAGTCTTAACAAACAATGGGAACGTGTGAGGACTTATTGTAAAAAGGGTTGTATATTTCGAAGAATCGACAGCGAAGTGCCCACGCTCTCAGGCGGCGCTGAACTCAACATATATTGGTATTATTGTGGTGGGATAAGGCGCCATTAACGCAATGGACTCAGCGTGTATGAATCTCGCCCAACGACCGATGAAATTAGGTTGGGCAGTTTGGACATCCTGTAAAGTTTGTGAAAGCGTATAAAGAGAATCACGTAATTAGCAAAATACACTCATTTGTAAACCGGTTTGATTTTGACGGGAGACTCACCTGGAACCCAGCTGAATCTCTCGTTTATGATGCTTTTAAGCAACTGAATGTGTTGCGCCGGGCCACATCGTTTTTCAGCTGGTACGATAATCACGTTTATCTCACGTATTCAGTAGCCTCCTTCATTGAGCGTTACTTTGGCATGACCGGACTCCGGCGAACCCTTCACCGACAACCATTTGCAACGGGAAACTCACGTTTCTTGGGTCGCTGGAAAATAAGCACGCGACCGTTGTTGACTTCCGTTTACAACCCCATACCCGTGTCCATGTCCCCGTTGTTAGCTCTTGTGACCTTGGTTCAATCCGGCATTTTATCATCGCACACTTCGTGTTATCGTCAGACTCTCGCGTAACATAGCCTATAGATTAACTCTGAAAGTGGGGAGCACTCTTGTTTGAAGGCGACAATGCGAGCGGAATCCGGATTAGCCAATCGTTGTGCGGTTTTATCCATCTGATCACCAACCAGCCTGGGCACCCACGTAGTCTTGCGTCTGGTTGGCCAGCAACTTTACAAACCACCTGTATATTACTCATCGTTTTGCGACCTTGTTGGTGTAATCCTGCGCGTTACGTAGGCCCGGCCAAGTTTACGATATCAGATAAACCAGTGTTTATTAGAAAAATGATCGTTCAGAGCTTGGTAGACCACGTACATGTAGTTTGATTCCGAGCTCGCAATTCCACATCAGGTCAATACTCCCCGGCTTTTTTCTATCCCGAATGGAAGAGTTGAAAGCAATTGATTAGATAACTCAAATAAGTATTTCTCAGTATGTTATCTCTAGAATCGACACGGGGCATCTGGGAGACACCAGGGTGCGGATAATCTAGGCTATTTTGTACTTTTGTTGGCGAATGCACAACTACATACGGTTAAAGTAAGCCTATTTACATACGAACGGTAGAATATTGACCAAAATTTGCATGTCTTGCCCCCTTTTATTATTCTTGATACAGTGTGTTCTTTGACGATGCGTATACTGCTTTGTGGTCCATGTTTTCTGCAGCCCACTCCACCGAGCGCCGCTTCAGGTGTTGGCAACGCACCAGTTAGTTCTGCTCCAAATTCTCGGGCTTCTGAAGGTGTTCTTGCCCACTTCTTCACGAGTCTGCTGAACAAAAAGACGAATGTCCCCGGCGTCGGCGCGTCCAGCCCATCTGCCCCACCCCAAGGAGCTGGTGAGTAGGGTTCTTCTATTCCGGTACCGGTCTTAGTCTATCTAATTTGTCCATTTGCATGTCTACTTTTTTTCGAGGTACTACATTCGTTTGTGCTACTCTTGGACTGCTGAAGCTCACTGAAACTCCTTGCGACGAGATTACAGATTTCCCAGCTTTTCATGCTTCAAACCATCCTTTGAGAACGACTTCACCAGGACCCGTAGGCCGCAGAATGTCGCATTTCCCTCTCATGTTTGCCATATTTTTTTAGACTGTTTGCTTTGGACACATGCATTGGAAGAAGCAGGTTTTTGCTGTGCTCTGTCTGGCAGACCAAATTCTGCCGCTCGTTCGTGAGCCATCCAAAGGAAGATCACTCTTTCACAGGTTAACCATCGTATCATAACATTTGCTGTGAGGCAGTTGTAAAAGTTATCGAGTAAGGACAATTAGACGCTGTTTGGATAAGCAAACAAATCCTTGTGCCTTCACGGTGAAATGTCATCCTGTGTGAGCCTACCGCATGATCGTCGCTTTTCGGTCCCAACCCATTCTCATGTTACCCATGTAACTGCGATCGTTCGTTCGACGGTACCTGATTCTGTAGTCACCAATCAACCGGGAACAATGGAGAATCGATACGAAGAGGTTAAGAAATATGACCGTATGATGGCTTAGATGTTACATTGACGGTTATGTGGGTACCAACAAATCCCCTCACGTGCCTTCGTCAGAAAATTGTGCTTCGCCCCGAACTTTGTTGAAATAGTCAGGAGATCAGCTTTAATTGCACCCCACCTATACATGCATTCTGAATGTACAAGCGCTTACCTACCGAGTCCATGTGTGGTGCGTAAATAGCTCACACAGTTCACGCCTGTCACAGGTACTGATTAAGCGCGTAGTACGCAGCCGTCACGGGGCCTGTTCTGCGTCATTCAATGGGCCGAAAAATACAGCTAAATTCATGCCATACTCTCAACACCACAACCTAATCAGTGCACACACACGTCTAATTCGATTCACTCTCGACTCATTTTTTACTATAGGTTCAGAGCGTTTCACTTTGAGATTCTCACCGATAAGTCTGGGACCCATCGTTCCCATTAAGTAGGCATTGCAAACTCAGTGGTGAATCGGTATCGTACCCAGTCGAAAAGGCTTTGCGGTTAGATTTTTCTGTTTTTTGTACGGTGTGTTTTGTTGAGAAGTCACGAGAAGTTTATTTGTTTTGAATCTCTCGGTAGAGATGATTCCTCTGTTCACTTGATGAATGATTGGAACGTTTCCAAAACGGAAATGTTGCTCCCCACAGTGACTCAGCTATGTACTCAATAAGGGCTCAGAATCAGGCTAGTCGAATGGTTGTTATACTCGCTTTTACTACCTGACCGGTGCATCGATTATTCCGGTGTTCGGTTATCTGAACTCCCCCAAGAATTTACTGTGACATGCCGTTTTTCGGAACTTATTCGATTTGCCTTTGAATCCGGATCAAGAGACAGTTGTTTCCGTTCCTGTGTTCGGTAGATTTATGGATTTCTCCTCAGTACACGTTATATATCCTCCTGTTGTTTGATTCGGTGTGTGTTGTAGTTGGTGATATTCCCGGGTTCGTCATTTCGTTTTCAACTGCGTTACACCAAACTAGGGTTCCGTCTCAGCGCATGAGTTCCGGTAGTTTTTTTAACAATGCATCCCCAAATCAAAACCCTGGAGTTGTTTGCTTCGGTCATCACTTGAATTCTTGTCTTTTTTCGTCAAAGACTAATTCCTTGCAGCTTGTTCGGGATCCATATCCGGTAGGTCGGGTTTGTTCTCCACCAACTGAGCTCTACATGGTCCACATGGGTCACCTTTGTTCATTTGCGATGCATGCTTATATGTCGCGATTCCACATGCTAATTCACCTCGTTTCTGCTTTCCTATGCGATTTTCCGGGCTAGACAAACTTGGAATGTCACCTAAAGATATTCAAACAGAATTAGAGCGCTTGGCCCGCAGCTCTCGAGAGGCTTTGGAAGCTAGCAAAGTGCCGAAGACGCAATCCACCCCGACAGAAGAACCTGCACCGACCACTGAACCGCCCACTGAATAACCTGCGTTGTGTTGCACAGTGACTGCATTCCCACCGAAACTTCATCATCACCTAACACCGTGCGTATATCTTCTCCGATTGTTTGTGACTTCAAACGCTCATAACGATGCATTGCAACGACTTTTTCACTGCAACCGCCTCTTATCTCGAGATATTTCACGTTGTCAGCCCTTGTCTTCTCGCTTATAGTTCATGTAAGCGCGCATTATTAAACTTTCCTCAATATTCATCTGGTGTTTGCTCACTTGGGACGCACGGGCTTGTCTTATCACATTCATTTGACTGGCAGAATCATGGTTGGAGCGAGATGGCTTAAGTGGTTAGAGCGCGAATTTACTGACCGGAAGGTCCGTGGTTCGAACGCGACCTCTGCCTCTCGACTTCCCCTGTCTAGGCTTGGGCATCCTGGCAGTATCCGAGCCCTCGTGCTTCCTTCGGGTGGCATGGCAGCTAGCCGCTGGAAGGGTGTTACAGCTGAACGACGAATATCATGGTTACTCGGGCGTTGATGTTATTCGCAACCATTGTGCATGTGCCTTCAGGGTAGCAAATGCCGTTTCGGGTTCGGAGCGGTAGTTCAAGTGCACTCATGAAATTTATGAACTTGTGTCAGTGATTTCTTTGTTCCACCGCAGTCATAAATTAATTGATTGAGTTCACCCCGAGTTTAAGAGGTCAGGGAGGTGCGTGAACTGCCTCCTCGTGATATTGAGGCCAGGGCTTATTTAACTGAGCATGATTTTTACAACAGTGAAGCGTTTTTGTCCTAGACGGATGCTGCATAGAGAGGTGAAAAGCAGTTTACCAGAGAGCACTGTCGTCTGTGAAGTGGTAGATGATAGATGTTTCATACATATGTATGCAGTAGTCTCTTCACGATAAAATGCTTTCAGGGCATACCGATTAGATTCCTCCATAAGGGTGTTTCTTTATAGGGGGTCGACTGGCATGAATGATTTCTCATGCCATGCTGTCACATGTCCAAATGCTGTTATCCAGAACAGTTGCCCTGGTATGATATAGAAGGTATATAGACTAAATTGTGCAATCGTGACGATACAGTAAAGTGTTACGTCAACCTAATGAGCTTTTTGTAATGATTATCTTTGGAATCTAGCAGATGGGTGTTTGTATGCCACTTATTTAAACTCGTATAAGAGGCTCAAACTTTCCTAACTGACAACCGAACAACGACATTTTCAGTAATACTTCGGAGAATGGATAACACGAGTGACCGAACATTTTGGTCTTTGGGATCCCCAGTAATCACCAAAAGGAGCGTGATTTAGCAGAGAGGCCAGGAGGATGTTTTTCCGTGGGGTCATCTCTGGAGGTATTGTGAATTTGCCCCGATGGAGAACTCCATCGTACGCTCTAAGTATGCCTATTGTTCATAGGTGTTTCAGCTGGGGGGGGGGGTCTAAGGTTTTTTTGGAACCCAGTAAGTGCCCAGTTATCAAGCATCATCCGATTCTACGTTCTTGCTTACTTGTTTTAACCAGTGTGGAAATTTCGTGACATATTCTAGGCATGTACGTGGCCTAGGCTACTACCCAGATCGAGTCACAAGGAACCTGTCGTTTTCTTGAGCAAAGTTAGTTGCAGCGGTGTTCACATCCTTCGTTATGCGCAAAAGTTAACTACAGACTGGGGTAGGTAGAGAATTAGCGTTGTGGCGTTCTTTTTCTTTGGGAATGCTACGACTGTTTTTGAATCCAAAACCATCCACCGTGTGACCTTGGGAGGTCTGTTTCATGCAATATTATGAAATATATTGCCTCTTGAAAAAGTGCAGATAGATTAATGGTCTGACCCCTGTAAGTGTATCCAGAAGCATTAGTTTTGCCATTCAGGGTAAGGGCGCTTTTTGCAGGTGATGCAATGAACTTAGTGCCAAGTTGGCGAAAACACAATACGAAATATCGAAGGGCCGAATCAAACTTAAGGTTGTTGGAATCCACTACTGGCCAAATTCAGTTTGTCGAAATCCCTACACTTGCTCCGGAAATACCTCTGGTTTTCGGGGAACTCATGAAAACTGATCCTGTCGACCACTCTGAGGCCACGTACTCGATGCTGCTGAGGATAGCTTCTCCTAGAGGTCTCCAGTTACCTACTTTTCCGGTCGTCAGCACTTTTCAAGGGATCACTATCGTGTTGTGCTGTTCCATGGACGTTGGCTAGAAATCTGGCAATCAACAGCAAATGCGAACCTGTCGAGATGCCGTATGTCGTCACCATTGCTGCTTTCAAACATTTAACTTGTTATCGTGTTCCTAGATAGTACAGATGCCTTATGATGTCCCATCAAGCTTGTACCCAGTCACTTCATCAACCAGTCTGGAAGTCCCAGTGCAACTATGCTCAGTACGAATCTGGTAATTCCTACGGATTAAAAACCTGCTGGGAAGTAGCAATCTCCTTCAATGTATTCCACTATCCTTCAGATGTTCACACACTGGTGGCTTAAAACATTTAGTCACATCTTTCTAATTCTTGTAACTTCTGATTTGATCCGTTTTATTGGCCCAGACTTTCTCATGTACATGTAAGGGATCTTTTTCGGATAAGCCCCGCCTCCCACAAAAGATTAGAAGAAAGAGAATATGAAATTTGTCATTTTAGTTCTTGTTGAAGAGGGTGAAATTGGGACGTCATTAATAATTTGCATGAAAAGGTCCGTTTTTCGGCACCTTTGCCTCCAACCGAACCCACACAAGTAGCTGTCCACCAAAGATCGGTTTGTGATGACAGATCCCTCGGAAAATCCACTTCTGGGGAGGAACTCGCCCTGCGTGGTTTTTACGGCGAGGTATTAGCGCCCCACCGATCTCGACGTGTAGACCTGGGCCGCCGATAACTGTTGGAGTCTGCTAAAGCCGCCAGGTACAAACTTCGCGGAGGAAGTTCCTCCAGTCGACAGTGGTTGTGTGGCTAGCAGATAATTCCTAAGTGCAGTATTTGATTTTTGCAAAATTTTTGGACCAGCAATACGTGAATAGAATTACTGTCTTAAACACCATCCCTAGACCACTCTAGCTACTCGAAGACCGATTTGTTGCGGACACTGTCAGGCATTATGCCTCCACCTGTCAGGATAGTGCCCTTCATTCTCCAGTCACAGAATCCACATTACAAGGTGGTTGATGCGTGTTAACCTACGGAACGTACGTATTCCAGTCCTGAGCCGATCTGCCAGAGTACAGCCGCTCCCCATCATAAGAGTCCCAAAAATACTCGTTCACGTTGCGATTCCGCAACCACCTACAACTACGAATATGGCTGCATCAGCTGGTTGATTGAGTTATCATCTGTGGTTGTTAGCAAGCCTCTCGAAATGTACCGGACCTGCGCTCATCCCTGATGTCCCTGGGCTAGTCTTTATTTCTTAGTGTTCCGCTGACAATTGGAGTGAAATCCGGTACGGTGAAAAAATAACAGATATAGACTCATGTGACGTAACCGTTTTCCATAAGCACCTCGGTAATTGCTTGTAACATATTCTTGGGCACTAAAGATCTTTCTCTCTTGTGGTGGGGATGCGCCGTTCCCCAGGCAGTCCGTCATACGGGGAACGAACGGATCAGCACCGAATGGAGGAAAATCGCTTACATTTTCGTTACACTACTCACGAGTAGTCAAGCTGCTGTTGGAAAGTGAACCAGCCAAACTGCGCCGCTTGCGAACCTTCATGCCATGCTAGTCAGCCTCGTTTGTGGGATCCGTAGAAGACACTAACTAAATTGACGGTACACTTTGTCATCTGAAACACCATATTATATTTTTACCTATTGGATGCGTGCATTTAAAAAGACGGCGTAGAGATTTTCTGTCTCACAATGGGAAATTTCTCGCGCGATGTTGCAACGAGATTCATGAGAGCTTGAAAGGATACTGAGAGTGCCACACCGTCAGTTTGGTAGTTCATTCAGGAGAGAGATTATGCGACGCTTCGGGCCTTGTGCAAAAAATCAGACGCACCTGGCGGTGAGTTCATTCTTTATAGATTCTTCTTCTCATCCCTTTTTGGGTCACTTGAATTTTAGTGAAGATATTTCAACATCCAAAAGGAGAAGTTGGTAAAATAGTTACCGTTCTTCATCTTATCGAACATTACCAGTAAGTGAGTTCGAATATGAGACCACGATTAAGCTCTGATAAAAGTCCCTGTCTGTTTAGTGCTTTTCCGTAGCAAAATTAAGGAAAAGCGAGCGAGTTCAGTTACGTCACAGAGATGGTCTCATAAAGGTACCAGCTACAGAAAAATCCAATGATTTATCCTTGGCCAGGGGGTTAGTGCGTCGTGACAACCCCACACAGAATTTTATCCCACTGAAGAGACCTCACTTTACTATCGAAAGATTTTGGTGTGCAAGCAATCACCAAGATGGGTGGTTTATTGGTGACGTCCTTATCAGCTGCGTGGGCGCATATAATTTGGACAACATGAAAATTATAAGGCAGTCGCAACCCTGGGTTTAAGAACTTCTGGTCCATATTATCAACCAACTACAAAGATTATGCCTTTAAGAGGACACTGACTTCACTCCAGCCCTGTGTCGCATGACCACACATATGAATCGAAGGCCGGTTAAACAAGTAGACTTTTTTAACGTCTCATCACCTACGGCTTTTAATACACCAAGGAGTCTCATCTCTTCAAACTGACTATAGTGTTTGGGTTGGGCTTGCCTTCACTCCAATTTTTTCCGTCACTCAACTTTATGCTGTGTCCCAAGCGTGGCCAAAATCAGAGCGTTAGGTCCACTACGTGGACTTAGAGACGTGCGCTCACGCGATAGGTTCCAAGGATGCTGATGATATTAGTGGCAGTTGCTCAGGCCTTTTTGCAGCCCCGGAATTTTTTTGCCACTTCCACCGTGCACATCTGTGGCAGTGCCCTTCTCATTTTTCAGGAGATACACGTCCGCAATCCTCATGAGAATGGTTCTCGGAGCGGTGCTGCCAATGAGCATATCAGCCCTAAATCATACCGTTTGATGACAAATTTTTGGATAAGTCTCCAGTGATCTTATCACCATTTGTGTTCAGTAATCCATATTATCCTGCATCAGAACTGTCCTGAGTTTTCTGCCACTTGTTCCATTTAAAAATAACAGTATTGATTTCGGTCGTATGGGGTGTACACTACCGTAAAATAACAATGATTGCTCTGAAAAGCTATGACTTTGAAATCAATTAGTTGCAGGCTTCTTACTTTA